GTCTTTCTTTTGCCCCTCGAATTAGGGAAACATGCCGCATAGACACGTGGGTTATGCTAGTTCGTCAGAATACTTGCATAAAAACAAGACTACCACTTTTGAATTGATTTATTAACTTGTCCATGAGATTGAACTCATCACCTCCATGAGTTGGAGACGAATGATACCCTATATCATTCACATATCATAGGGTTTCATGACTACCTAACATAAAGATAAGGGTTCACTCCAAACGCGGCCGGAGACAAAAGTAACAAGTCCACTGATCCATCCACGGGCAATTTATAAGTGACCGGTCAAATTTTATTTTGCATTAACCAACTAAACCTAAAGATTTCACTTTAGTAATGGGAGAACTACATTGTTGCTGTGTGTATACTTGATGCGGAACATTTTACATGTTGCTCCACAAATTTATGCACTGTGGCATGTGCCCTGGATCTTTTTTTGGTATACATTTTCGGTGTTCCAGTCATCATCTACTGCTTTCAACTGTGGGAACTTAAGTACACAAAATAATGAGGATAACCCTCTCTTGAATGCATGCATGCCCTCTTATCTCTGTCCGTTGCTGGCTTTTTACTCTTCCGCAGGAGGGTCAACCCAGCGGCCGTGATCTTTTATTAGCTGGATCAAGGCGTCGGTTGCATGCTCCATCTCAATTGCACGCTTCACCACGGTCTGAAACGCAATTCAACCTCATATCAAATAGGGTATGGCAAACAAAATTATGTAACAACTAAATAAAGTCTAGCTAAAAGCCGAAGAACTACTTAAATGATGAAGGTGCCCAATAACAACCGGTGCTAACCTGTACTCAGAGGCATAACTTATTGTATGCAAACTATTGAAAATACTTCTTTCAACTAAACCCATATTAAATTTCAAGCTGGACAGAGGAAATACCTTCCCAACATAGAGGTCAATCTTTCCAGGAGCACCACCAACATACCCAAAGTCTGCATCAGCCATCTCCCCAGGTCCATTAACAATGCAACCCATGATTGCAATCTAGCAAAGGAAATAGCAAATGAATTACAAAAGCATCTGGATTACTGAAAATAAAATAAGTTGGCTGTTCAAAATCGTTCCATCACAAAAGGAAAGAATAAGGTAATTACTGAAACGCCAGGCAAGTGCGATGTCTTCTCTCGTATTTGTGCACTTATTTCTTGAAGATCAAACAAAGTTCTGCCACATGATGGGCATGAAACGTACTCCTGAAATGAGATTTAGGCATGTACAACGATTGTTTAAGATCGTCATCGCTTCATGATATGTCAAATTCTGTTATATTTTGAATGAAAACTCCTACCGTCTTTGTATTCCGCATTCTACAACCTTGTAGTAAATTGAAAGATGTGTTTCTAAGGAAATCAAAATCTTTGTCTGCGGCTTCTAATAGGAGACCATCTCCAAGTCCATCTACTAAAAGGGCCCCCGCATTGGTACCAGCAGCAATAACCAAGTCATCCCTGCACGAAATGGAATTAAGCCAGAAGTACTAAAACCACGCATCTCTTGAAAAAGGAAGAGTCGATCTTGTTATTACCTATGAATTCCACTTGGAAACTGAATATGGTGTATGACCGGAAAGTTCAGAGAATTGTCTCCCAGATACTCAAACAGCCTAGAGCAACATAAAATTCACAATATTAAGAGAAGGAAACATGTGCACAACAAGAATAAAAGCAAATAACATGGACTACCAATGATAAAATTAACAGCCCCATACAAAGCGGACAAATTTCATATTTGGTGAAGTGTCTAGGGCCTAGGAAAATGCTTCTCTAGATGGGAACTCTTACAATAATTTTATGTTGATAATGATTTATATGCAGGGAGTTAAAAAGTTATTACCTTCTTGCAGCATGCACGCGGCTTACTTTATCTTCACTGAAGGGAAGATCATGGAGAAGCATTGTAGCATCAATGCCTTTGAGAATATCCAGCACTTCATAAGGTTCATCGCCACGTACCGAGACAACCATGCGTGTACCTGGGAGGCAATTGATTCACAATAAGGATTCCTGGCTGAAAAATCAGGGGTAGCCTTCGACCAATACAAAACCCTTCCCACCCTTGAATGGAACCAGAAACTCCCCTTCTTAAGGGGAAGAGATGCTAATTAACATCAAAGGCCACTGCTAAAATATGTCTACCTATAAAAGAATAAGCATAGAAAAAGAATATGTTCAATTAAACATCAGTGCTCTGAAATCTGTAAGAAAGCTGCACCTTCTGGCAAAAGCTTGTATGCACCAGTTGATAATTCCTTCGAATTTACCAGAACCATGGCATTGGGCAATGGCTTTGTTAGCTGCTCTGACAATGGTGTTATAACACCCATACTAACATCTATCAACCTTTTGAGCGCTAGCCGCTGATCATACACAAAGAAGATTGTCATGTCATTCCCGTTATCGCAAAGAACTAGCAAATAAAATATGCAGTGTAATGCTCGAACAACGTAGGAAGGTATAAGGGATAATGTGGGTGCGGGGGAAGAGTAGGGATTATTTCCAAAATATTCTTACAGAATCATTATCATCAACTGGTGGAAGTTGTCTCAATAAGATTGAGTCAACTGTTGCAAGATCCTGTATAACAGAACTAACCATGTCAATGAAAATCCCAGTAAATTTTACATGTGACACATTAAAAAATCTAAAATGGAATAATAATAGACCTTAAACGGCATGCCCACAACAAGTTTTGCTGCTAGTGACTTGTAGAGGAGCTCTGGAGTCTGTAAAGGATGCAGAAGGTTAGTGTAATTTCTACCATTTCAGATACAACTCAGCCCCCCACTCAAAAAGGAAAAAACACAAAAAAGAAAGCCAATAAAATGGAACAAAGGAAGTATGATGTCAACTGTACCTTCAACTGATTAAGGGATACTGACATGAGAACAGAGCCATCACGGTGCAGGACACCTCTATAATCCACCTCCTCACCCTGTGTTTTGATGACATTAAATCACTGTTAAAGGAAAAAAAAA